ATGAGATCATTCTGAAAATTGGCGACGACCTTCCAATAGGGCTTTCACAACTGTCCGAAAAATTTGGTGGATATCGGAGTTGATATAGTAATCAAAATGGGGCAAAATACGCTGCTTTTAGCTGTTACATAATGTTTGATGGTTGGATATGCTTCAAACTTTTCGGACACTTTCCTTGTAAGTCTATCAGTAAGCTTACCAATTTTTGTTGCAATCGGAGGTCGGGAAGGATACTTAATATCTATTTGTTTGAAGAAAATTGTGCTGGCCGAAATTAGCGCTAAAAAACCATCCTACAGTCGGTACGCGCGGCTCACTGTCGATGGCGCACTACCTATTGAAAAGGCACAGGCTGAGCGCCGCCCAGTAACACAGACATTTCGCTTCGAAAAGAAAGTTGCGCGTGTTACTTCGAACAAATTTAGACAAGCATCATCCGTCGACGTACCGGCGAGTTTAATTTCCAATCTTTTCTTTAACAGGTGATAATTGTAGTCGTAAAATATTTGCTTCAAATATTAATCAGGACCGTCGACGAGTCCAACTCGGCGCGCGTCCTGGTAGGTTATAAACCTACAAGTCACGCGTCGCGATCCTCATTTGTATTTCATTTCGCCCCCGCTATACCGTGGCGAAAGCCACGATACGACCGCGCAGCCCACAACGAAGGGCTGAGGGTAATAAATTTACCGGATGGTGCAGGGAAATTGGTAAAAACACGACTTCAATCTTACATTAATTGTATAAAATTCTAATTTTAGGTAAACAAGCAAAGTTTGTTTTTAATTATTACATATAACTATTTAGTAGAGGCTCTTACGGGCATTGTCTGCTCGATACGCTAGGGACCCCAGATACACCTTACTAGACGTATTTTTGACCGTAGAATCGATTAAAAGTAGTTTCAAAATGATTGGACTGAGTTAGCACCGTTAAAATTGCAAAAAAACCGATTTTGGGGCCAAAAATAGGCCAAAAAAGCATGTTTTTTGATAATTTGAGCAAGTTAATTTTGTTGGCATTTCGGCAAAATTTGCATGAAGGTAGCTAAAAGACAGCCACACAAGATGGTTAAAAAATTTTAAAAATCCCTCTATTTTAGTGCAGGCAAAAACCCAAAAAAGTGGTAAAAATTTTGACTTTTTTGCTTGAAGTTTGAATAATTTTTTGCAGTTGTATTAAATCAACTCAAAAATAGTCACATCGTGTTTGCCTAAATTTTTCCTTTCCGAGAAGTACCCACTTCATATACTTTATCGAAGTTTGAATATTGTCACTCCGCAAGCGTTTTTGCCAAATTTTCGACGCGCACTACGCGCAAAAGCATTTAGTTGTTATCAATTGGCACCCGCGCGTTCATCATAAATTTCAAACAGCTATAACTCAGCGCGATTATGTCCGTTCTAGCTCATATTTTCACACCAAATAGAAAATAATGTGATCTTATTGCTGACAAAATATGAATATAATTACTCTATTTGCCTTAGATTAATAGACTGTCAAAGTTTAAAACGCGCATTGGTATAGCACGTGACGAATAAGGCCAAATTTATACTTCTTAACATATTATCGATCCTTAGACATCATACTATTGTGTCCAATTAGCGGTTAGGTCTCTAAACTCGTAGTATAGCAGAAAACACGTCTTTTTGCCCGTAAGAGCCTCTACTAATTAGTTGACGGATGTTACTCGTTTAAATTTTTCGATGCGAAGTTTACTGGGCCGCGCTCAGCCTCAAGCCTGTCATTCCGCCGAATTTATATGATTATGAACATATAATCCACAAATTAAGTGCAAGTAAGTAAGTAAATATTTCATGCTAGGCATGTGGCACCCATTACGGTACGGGTAACCACTAACCATCCATTGAGTTTTTGCTTTTTCGCTTTGCATAGCAGCTCAGCGAGGTCCGCAGGGGTGCCGGGTGCATTTTGCCTACATCTAACGACAAACACTTACGTCGTAAGGTGGCCTTACGACGAGAAGCATTATTGGATCGATGCGCGGCAAGCTTGCTAGTTGCTACGAAGTATCCCGAAACTGGTTAGTCCATTATCATTTATAACGATAAACAAATTGTTGGCACTTGGCAGTTGGCTTGATACACGAATTGCATTTCGATCTTCGCGCACGATCCCAGGACACACTACACAGGAGCTCGCCTGTCATGCGTCGGCGTACACGCTTCAATATGCAATACTTGGCAGCGCTCAGCCTGTCATTCTACAGCACGCGCAGCAGGCAGCTTCATTCCTCCTTGTCATACGTTGTATCACCCGCCGCGCACGAAGTGAGCGGCTCCCCCTGTATCGTCAGGACGACCGTGGGTGTCACAACGTGATACAAATTCCTCCATAGCTCCATTCTCCAATGAGTATGTTTATAAATATTATAGCTTGTAGCACGATGCGTTACTGTGCCGCGCCGCGCATTCAATTATTGATTATGCTTCTTGCAACGCTAAATCGGTGAAATGCGCTACTGTGCCTCGCCGAGCTGCGATGAATTGACATTGTCAATTAACATATATTATCACTCCTGCGCGCAGTGTTGTGACCTCCCTTCGTCGTAATTAGTAGGTAGTGCGCCATCGACAGTGAGCCGCGCGTGCCGACTGTAGGATGGTTTTTTAGCGCTAATTTCGGCCAGCACAATTTTCTTCAAACAAATAAATATTGAGTATCCTTCTCGACCTCCAATTGCAACAAAAATTGGTAAGCTTACTCATAGACTTACAAGGAAAGTGTCCGAAAAATTTAAAGCATATCCAATTAACAAACATTATGTTACAGCTAAAAGCAGCGTATTTTGCCCCATTTTGATCACTATATCAACTCCGATATCCACCAAATTTTTCGGACAGTTGTAAAAGCCCTATTGGAAGGTCGTCGCCAATTTTCAGAATGATCTCATTTAAGGAACTGAAGATAAATCCGAATAATATGACAAAAATGGTCAAATTTGGACGAATTTGGTTAAATTACGCGACTTTTACAGCTACTTTTGCTCCAAAAGCCGCGCACCATCAAATATGGCACTTAGGCGAAATTCACTGATCTTTCCAAAAAGGTATGACAAATTTGGTATTGTGAAAATTCTCACAGTCTCTAGAAAACACTGGTACAAAAATTTTTTTAAATCCGAGCAAGTTTATTTTTATCGTGCACCTCCTATAATTAGCTCGTATTCAGATTGAACAATTTTGAAGTCAAATAAATGTTGTTTCTTTTAGACTTAAATAAACAATATGGATGTAGTCCGAAAGTAATTTGTCTACTAAATAACATTTTGAAACTATGAACAAAATTGGCGAAAATTTGCCGTAGATGTGACCAAAAAACTACGCGCAGAACTAAATATTTCTTCATAGACGCGTGAAAATTTTTGAGTTTAACATTGAATATTTTAGCTTGGTTATTGTAATACTTAATTTTCAAGTCTCTATCCGATAACTAAATATTTTATCTTTACGACAGTATAAAATTTGTTTGTATATTTGCTAAATTAAAAAAACAGTAGGAATAGAAACGTCGAAGGTCTTGCGCTTATTTCAGTCCCAAAATATACTCTAATCATAAACTTCATAAAACCCACTGAAAATGATGTCTACAGGCATATTAAGCCCTTACACCTTCCCAAATCATTTAGCAAGGATTCAGAGCCAGTTTTTAAAATTAGCTTTCGAATATCATTGTTAAGACATAAAACTATAAATAAATGAGTGCCCTTTTTCTCTTTCGTCTCGATAGTTTCTCTTTCATTTTAACATTATACATTAGTAAAAGCAATCAGCGATCTTTATTAATCATTGAAAGAGTAGAGTAATTGGTCCTCGTCAATGTTTAGTGTCTGATTACAGTTTCGGTCCGACCTCCAAAACTGAAAAGATATTGGGGGTATTATCAGTTATGTAAATGGAAAAATTATATTTGCATCATAAAACTATGAAAACATTGAAACTAATGTTTTTGAAGGCTCGCCTATTCGTTTAAGCAATCAAATAGTCAGTGCATGCACAGTAAAGAACAGTTGAAGGCACCGGGAATGTTTCAAATATAACCTCTGTCTACTATCAAGTATCAGACCACACACTCCACTATAGTAGAGGCTCTTACGGGCATTGTCTGCTCGATACGTTAGGGACCCCAGATACACCTTACTAGACGTATTTTTGACCGTAAAATCGATTGAAAGTGGTTTCAAGATGATTGGACTGATTGTTCTGGGGTAAAATCGCAAAAAAACCGATTTTTGGGCCAAAAATAGGCCAAAAAACCATGTTTTTTGATATTTTGAGCAAGTTAATTTTGTTGGCATGTCGGCAAAACTTGCATAAAGATAACTAAAAGACAGCCGCACAAGATTGTATAAAAATAAAACAAATCCCTCTATTTGTTCTGAGGTAAAAATCCAAAAAAGTGGTAAAAATTTTGACTTTTTTGCTTGAAGTTTGAATAATTTTTTGCAGTTGTATTAAATCAACCCAAAAATAATCACATCGTGTTTGCCTAAATTTTTCCTTTCCGAGAAGTACCCACTTCATATACTTTATCGAAGTTTGAATATTTTCACTCCGCAAGCGTTTTTGCCAAATTTTCGACGCGCACTACGCGCAAAAGCATTTAGTTGTTATCAATTGGCACCCGCGCGTTCATCATAAATTTCAAACAGCTATAACTCAGCGAGATTATGTCCGTTCTAGCTCATATTTTCACACTAAATAGAAAATAATGTGATCTTATTGCTGACAAAATATGAATATAATTACTCTATTTGCCTTAGAGTAATAGACTGTCAAAGTTTAAAACGCGCATTGGTATAGCACGTGACTAATGAGGCCAAATTTATACTTCTTAACATATTATCGATCCTTAGACATCATACTATTGTGTCCAATTAGCGGTTAGGTCTCTAAACTCGTAGCAGAAAACACGTCTTTTTGCCCGTAAGAGCCTCTACTACTATCCACTATGTACTATAATGTACAATGGCAATTAAAATGTGTTCCCGCAATTTTAAAATGCGCGCATCTTGCGCCGTGACCATGACGGTCACAGCGCATGCTGGTGAACGGAGGTAGGCTGGTGAACGAGTTATTGGGACAAAATTGGAACATTTTGGAACATTGGTTACATCGGTTGTAGACATGCAGTGATTCCCAAACTTGGTTTGAGTGGTCCTAGGACCAATCTAAACGCTTTCCGGCCAGTTTTAAACCGTTCTGAGCACTTTTAGTTTTAGGAGAATATTAATTTTTGTTCATTTTCGTGCATTCCATGAACCTGGGTAATTTTCATGCTCATTGGAATTTAGAAGGTAAAATAACTCACATAACAGTGCTCCCGACAAGTTTCACGGATATAGTGATTGAGTTTCTAGTCACCTAGCCTCTTGGCCTGAAAGATTTCTTGTTCGGCAGGGTGACTGCTTGAACGTCAACTTCAACCTTTCCCACTGTGCACTGCATCGAATCGAGGTAGAGTTGTTAACTGAAATATTACATTCAGTCTAGCGACCTTTAAATCTGGGTCAAACTTAGTATTTCTGAAAGTTTCGCAAAATGTTATTGATTACAGAGGGTGTGTCACGCCACTCTCTCCTTAAGATCTTGCAGATGTTAGCACCATACCGTACCTGTTCATTATAATAGCCCTAGACTATTGCATGAGACAAGCCTTAAGCAAGCACCCTGAAATAGGATTTACCATTAAGCCTTATAGGAGTAGGAGAGTCAAGGTGGAGAAGATATCGGTCACTGGTTTTGTGGATGACATTGCTCTGATAGCAGATACTGAAAAGGAGACAGAGACGCTGATGCAAGAGATAGAAAGGGTTGCTGCCACAGTGGGACTTAGAATGAATGAAGGGAAAAACTAAATTCATTACTCAGAACATCGAGAACCCTGATACCATCAAGTCTCTGGGTAACCATGCTGAAATTTCTTTGAACTAGAACACAGTAAACCAATCTGTAACGAGTATAACTTCCTGACTGTCCACAATCGTCATAAGTTGCACTGTTTACTGGAAATGTTTAAAATTAATAAGTTCCAATCACCAGTCTCAATGTTCTCTTTATTCAACAGGTCACCAAGACGAGACAACTACTTCATCCCACCCACTCCGTCCTCACTATTCATCTACCAATCAACCAGTATTTGGAATCACTGCCGTAAGTCAACGAGTGAAATAGACTTCTCCACTCCTATCAGTATATTCAAGAATAATCTTAAGAAAGCTTTGTTAGAACTACAATCTAAATATGACAGACAACTATGGTGCAGTTACAACTTTGATGCAAATGAATTATCATTGAAATAGGTTAATTAACTAAACTTAATCATATGAGTAAACCACGGTGTTATTGCAAAGAACCATGACAAGGGTATCAGACCTATATATTAATCTAAGAGACGAAACAAAACGAATCATCATACAACAAATTTTAAAATCCTGCGGCACAGGATCCTGTTGTTTTCCTACTCTGCCTCTCCCAAACCCCTCTCCTTCCCCTTTCTTCAGGTTTATTCTTCAATTTTTTAAATTAGATAGCAGATATATTTTCTTTCGAATTAGTAATGGCATTATACATTATTTGGTATCGTATGTATGTTGTGTTTAGTGTTTGCTAACTAGGTATGTGCTGTATATTTTGAAGAATTTTGAGGCTCACGACGTCTCGTCCCATGGGTTGAGTTGTAAGCTGAGTATATGTTCAAATCGCCTTACTTCGTATGGTGAAACATCGACAGGTTTGCCTTGACCTTTCGGACTAGTGTTTGCCCACCGGGGATCAAAAAATATGATCACCATGAACATTACTTTGACACGTGAACTTATCAAACGACTGTAATGATTCCATTAAATTTTCTTAGTATATTTAGCTAGTTTATAGTAGATACACACGATCACAGAATAGAAGAGCACAATTGGGCTCTTTGTTCTGCGACCGTGTTTCCTCGGTGGGCCGACAGGTTTTTGTTGTGTAGTAGTGCTGGGGAAAAAACACGCTTTAAATATCAATGAATGTAAATATTGTTAATTGACATTAGTGCCACAGTTTATGTGGTAAAAACAAATTTATGGTCAAACATTATATATCGTAGAAGGGCATGATTTACCCACATCACTAAGCATCTGGATGGATAATTAGCACACAAGGATAAACTGACCTTTAAACATGACCACCAGCTATACCACGTAATCATAGCTCCAAAATAAATAAATTGCTCTACATAGAAACATCTGGCCTGATCTTATCACATTGTGGTCCCCTGGGGTTCGGTAAAGCCCTTACAGGCAACTGGGTCCTTTTACCAGCCACAATAAAACTAGTCATGCCAGTACTGTCATAAACTGTAACCAACTATTTAAAAATAAGATATCTTTTGCTAGAATTTTACATTTTAAGCCATAGAGCAATCTTCTCAATTTTAAAATTTAAAAATAACATTTTACCCTAACTATGATGTGGTGGCATTTCATACTTAACTAAAATTCAACTTTGAAAGTCAATAGATTATTAGTCACAATGAAATTATAGTTTAAGACATCCATTTTGCATTGTGTTTCCAATATTAGAATTTATGATATGTATTGATTGAATAATTGGTAATAAATTTAACTTTTGTTTTATTAACTTTTGTTTTATTAAAGAAAGCCTGTCTCTGAAGAAGGAGAGACGATAAAAACGTGATACGATACGGTATGTTGAAATAAAGCCTGTCTCTGAAGAAGGAGAGACGATAAAAACGTGATACGATACGGTATGTTGAAATAAAGCCAGTCTCTGAAGAAGGAGAGATGATAAATACGTGATACGAAACGGTATGCGAAAGCTATGTAGTTGATCAGACTTAAAGTTACGTGTTCTTAAGAGGGTGAGAGGTTCTTTAGTAAGGCCGACTGATTAAATGAGGCCCTGAAATGAACAGGAATCTAGCAATAATAGCATGGAGAGTGGGGAAAATCAAAACGCGGAATAATAATCTAACTCTAAGTTAACGATAAACTGGTACAGAAATCAAAAGTCCGAACACGGAGTCTAGGAGTAGGAAATAGCTGTGAACCAAACAAACAGAATGGCACCCGTGCATGATATATTAAAATATGTACCGTTCTAGGATGCCTCCGCAAACTTTTGCTCCTCTGTAAATGCACGTGTTAGTGCTGTAGCGAAAGCTATGTAGTCGATCAGACTTCAAGTTACGTGTTCTTATTAGGGTGAGAGGTTCTTTAGTAAGGCCGACTGATTAAATGAGGCTCTGAAATGAACAGGAATCTAGCAATAAAAGCATGGAGAGTGGGGAAAATCAAAAAGCGGAATAAATAATCTAACTCTAAGTTCTCCACTACCTGAATATTGATCGGGAACAGGTTAGCCGCGTATGTGGAAAGAGTGAGTTAGATTATAGGTAACAACGGGTAGTCTCAAGCTACCCGTCTTTGCACCGTAACTTAGCCATCTGATCTAGAAGAGGAAGGAAGGTTATCATCTACACATACTGTATTAGGAAGTTAATCGTGTCCTAGCTACAGATCATACCTTATTAAGAAGTTTATCGTATCCTGAAAAAAATACCTTATTAGGAAGTTTATCGTGTCCTAGAAACAGGCCATATAACAGAATTATCACTTTCTCCTCCTCCCAATCCACAGTATTCCGGAGTTTCTGCAACGTCACTAAAACTGCAAAACATTGTAAGTTCATATGTAGATTCTATAAAAGGTTTGAATTAAAGCAGAGAGGTTAATAAGCACTTATCATATTTAGATTATAGTTCAGTCAGTTTTTTTGAGACGCCTCCATGAACCACCACGGGGCGACCTGCCCAGTAGTAAGAGCTGCCCAGTAGTAAGAGCTGCAGGAAATCACAAAAGCAATGAGGGTTATTGAAATTAAAGGACTTTTGTCATTTATGGGTGCTTGTATAATAATTTTACCGCAAGATTTTGATAATCTTTGTAATAAACTAGTGCAATGATTGGACAAGTCACAATCAACAATGATAAAAGTGTTTTATATAAAATAACCTAAAGCGAGAATGTCGTTAGTTAACTATAAAATACAGTACCAAGCGATGTATTAAAGTAACACAATTATACTCGTTCTAATTGATATTAGCTTACTTTGATTCAACGAAAACCTACCTTTTATCTGCTTTCGTGAAATTCAAAAGTGATGTTAAAGTAACACGAGCCCTTTAAAGCTTGCAGGGGTTCCTCCTATTATCGTTGATCAATTATGTACCAAGTACACTATGTAATACAGCAAAGTCGTCAGTCGATAACTGCTGTTAAACTTAAAGCCATGAAAGTTCAAAGCGAGTGCAGAAACAAGAAATGGCGCGAAATCATAATGTTCAAGCCACACGTACAACGTATGATCTGCATTATGCTCCTTCATCAACTAATTCTAGTTTTAAACGATTTTGACACGCTAAAATGCGCGCGTGGATTTGCGCGGCGCGTAGAAAAATTTTAAAGCTGTCGGATAGAGGTTAATAAATTTTTCTACTGTCAACACAGCCCAAGTTATTCATGTTTTAATATCAAAAAATGTCCGATTTTTTTGTATTATTTTTAACTAATTTCCTTTTCAAATCGCTGCCACATCAAAATTATTTTACGAAAGTAAAGTATTTTACAAAAAGCAAGCTCAATCGTTTTAGAACTAAATTAAAAAAGAATTTAATATAAAAATGTTAAAACTTTAAAATTATCGATGGAATAAATTGCCAACGTCCAAATGTGTGTAAAATACGACGAAGGGAGGTCACAACACTGCGCGCAGGAGTGATTATAGCCTGTGCAGCAACAGTACACGCGCTTTAACCTAACCATGTGCTTTCGCGCCACTCACTGCAGCGTGCAGGCGCGCTCGTTTCACACGGGAGGCGAGCGGAGAGGAGTTTAAAGATAATTAATAGAGATAAGGCTAAAATACATATATAAATAGATAAAGATAGCGATTAGAATATTAAATAAAGATTTTGGCCCATGTGTGCAATTTTACAAAAATGACACACATGGGCCACCTAATGATATACATGATAAACCTGCTAGCGCATGTGTATCAAAAAATTTTTTGACACACATACGCTACCTAGGAAGCGCATGTGTATCATTATTTTTTTTGACACACATGCGCTTCCATAATATGGCAGTGATATGTTAACATTGGATAAATTTCAACACCTGAACAGGGTAAAAATTTGTAAATTTCGTCACAAAAAAATTATAACTTTATTTGCTCTGTGTTGGCAAAATAACTAATTTATCGACATAGTGATGGTGATAAAGTAACATTATATACTAATTGAGGTATGATTCTTCAAAATAGGGGCAAGAAATGTAAATTTCGTCACATCAGCCATTGCATTAGTTAGATAGATTCTCTTTCATATCAACTGCCCTTATTATTGTTGGAATGGATTTATACAGGAAATATAGAAACCCATGCCCATTTGTCATCACATTGAAATTATACTGTTGGGGCAGGAAATGTAAATTTCGTCACATTTCGGTAAATTAGTGATATCAAACTCAGCATTGTTAAACTTGAGTTCTGATTTGCTGAAAAATAACCTACCAATAATTCCTGGAAGAATATTGAATTCTAATCGGGGTATGGTTCTTCAAAATAGGGTCAAGAAATGTAAATTTCGTCACATACGTCATTGAAAATTTAGATACATTTTATTTCACATCAACAGTCCTAATTATAGTTTGAAATGATTAATTCAGAGATAAAGGAAATATAGAAACCCATGCCCATTTTTCATCACATTAAAATTATACTTTTGGGGCAGGAAAAGTGAATTTCGTCACATTTCGGTAACTTAGTATAATTAAACTCAGAATTGTCAAACTTGAGTTCTGATGATCTGCTGAATAATAACCTACTAATAATTCCTGGAAGAATATTGAATTCTAATCGGGGTATGGTTCTTCAAAATAGGGTCAAGAAATGTAAATTTGGCACATACGTCATTGTAAAATTTAGATACACTTTCTTTCACATCAACAGTCCTAATTATAGTTTGAAATGATTAATTCAGAGATAAGGAAATATAGAAACCCATGCCCATTTTTCATCACATTGAAATTATACTGTTGGGGCAGGAAAAGTGAATTTCGTCACATTTCGGTAACTTAGTATAATTAAACTCAGAATTGTCAAACTTGAGTTCTGATGATCTGCTGAATAATAACCTACTAATAATTCCTGGAAGAATATTGAATTCTAATCGAGGCATGTTTCTTCAAAATAGGGTCAAGAAATGTAAATTTCGTCACATCAGCCATTGCATTAGTTAGATAGATTTTCTTTCATATCAACTGCCCTTATTATTATTGTGACAATTTTTTTCTATCCGTGCATCGTCCTTATATACAGTTTTCCCGCCTTCCAAACCAAAATCAGATATAAATGATTTCGGCAATTCACCCAAAATTTTAAATTCCATATAATGTGACAGAATTTACATCATTTCCCAATAAGTGCATGTATTTGCTAACTTTTCAAAACAACATATTTTAGGGCTATGATTGGTAGAAGAACCATCAAATAATGAGTTGAAAGGGTTTTGAGGACACCTCACAGTAGAAAAGAGGTATCGCATTCTGAGTGTGACAAAGTTTACGAAATATTGCCATAAAACCGTTCGATCCCTGCCCTTCAGCCAAATGTTGCATCATAATTGTTAGAATGACCTAATCTACTATATTTTAAACCAAAAAATGCTAATTGGGCAGCTATGGTTAACACAGTCACAAAAATGTGACATTTTTTACATTATAGTGCCTAAAAACAATAAATTGTATTTCTGAGCCGTGTATATGGAAGTATGGGTCACGTGGCTACTGGCTAATGTCCAGAACTTCTGAACACGCTATTTTTTTTGGTTTACCAATATCCTTAAACTTCAACATGAACGTGTCCATTTACGATTTCGTATCATTTTGTGACGATGTTTACATCAACTGCCCTATACTTCAATCAACTGTATCCGTGTATCGTCCTCATATAATAGAGTTTCCCGCCTTCCAAACCAAAATCAGATATAAATGATTTCGGAAATTCACCCAGAATTTCAAATTCCAAATAATGTGACAGAATTTACATAATTTCCCAATAGCCAAGTGCATGTATTTGTTCACTTTTCAAAACAACATATTTTAGAGCTATGATTGGCAGAAGAACTATCAAATAATGAGTTGAAAGGGTTTTCAGGACATCTCACAGTAGAAAAGAGGTCTCGTATTCTGAGTGTGACAAAGTTTACGAAATGTTGCCTTAAAGCCGTTCGATCACTGCCCTTTAGGCCTACATTGTATCATAATTGTTAGATTGACCTAATTTACTATATTTTAGACCAAAAAATGCTAATTGGGCAGCTATGGTAAACAATGTCACAAAAATGTGACATTTTTTACATAATAGTGCCTAAAAGCAATACATTTTATTTTTGAGCAGTGCATATGGGAGTATGGGTCACGTGGCTAATGTTCAGAACTTATGAACACGCTAGATTAATAAATGTTAAAATTAAACCACTATCGTCAAAAACGCTGTTTTAGAAATTTACCAATTTCCTCAAACTTCAATGAACGTGTCCATATAATAATATTATTGGGGGGGGGGGGGGGGGGGGGGGGGGGGGGGGGGGGGTGTCACGTCCGTCTATGTCCGCTTGTCTCATAGAATCCAAAAAGGACAGGACATAGGCGGACATAGACGGACATAGGCGGACATAGGCGGACATAGGCGGACATAGACGGACATAGGCGGACATAGGCGGACATTAATGGACACCTAAATTGCTAAATAAAATGTTCAATTTTTGCTGTTATAGGGGGATCATGTTTTTTGTCCGTTCGGTACCCTATATTTTCAAAACGGACAAAAAATAGAGCGGACAAAAACGGACAAAAATGGAAATAACATTTAGATGCTTCCTCCTCCTACTCTTCCTCCTCCTCCCCCTGGGTCTTCCTGATCTTCCTCAGTCCTCTTCCTCCTCCCCTCGGCCTCCTCAGTCCTCCTCCTACTCCTCCTCCTCGTCCTCAGTCCTCCTCATCAGTCCTCAACAGTCCTCCTCCTCCCCAGTCCTCCTCCTCCTCCTGAGTCCTCCTCCTGGGTCCTCCTCCTGGGTCCTCCTCCTCCTCTTCATCCTCCTCCTCTTCCTCCTCAGTCCTCAGTCCTCCTCCTCATCCTTCTCCTCAGTCCTCCATCCTCCTCCTCAGTCCTCCCCCAGTCCCCCTCCTCCTCCTCCTATTCAGTCCTCCTCCTCCTCCTTCTCAGTCCTCCTCAGTCCTCCTCCTCCTCCTTCTCAGTCCTCCTCAGTCCTCCTCCTCCTCCTCCTCCTCCTCTTCCCTCTCAGTCATCCTCCTCAGCCATCCTCCTCAGTCCTCCTCCTCCTGGGTCCTCCTCCTCCTCTTCATCCTCCTCCTCTTCCTCCTCGGTCCTCAGTCCTCCTCCCCCTGGGTCCTCCTCCTTCTCATCAGTCCTCCTCCTCCCCAGTCCTCTCCCAGTCCCCCTCCTCCTCCTCCTCCTATTCAGTCCTCCTCCTCCTCCTCCTCAGTTCTCCTTAGTCCTCCTTCTCATTTCTCCTAAGTCCTCCTCCTGAGTCCTCCTCCTCTTCCTTCTGAGTCCTCCTCCTGAGTCCTCCTCCTCCTCCCTCTCAGTCATCCTCCTCAGTCATCCTCCTCAGCCATCCTCCTCAGCCATCCTCCTCAGTACTCCTCAGTCCTCCTCCTTCTCAGTCATCGTCAGTCCTCCTCCTCAGTCCTCCTCAGTCCTCCTCCTTCTGGGTCCTCCTCCTCCTCCTGGGTCCTCCAGCCTCCTGGGTCTTCCTGATCCTCCCCAGTCCTCTTCCTCCTCCCCTCCTCAGTCCTCCTCCTACTCTTCCTCCTCGTCCTCAGTCCTCCTCATCAGTCCTCAACAGTTCTCCTCCTCCCCAGTCCTCCTCCTCCTCCTGGGGCCTTTTCCTGGGTCCTCCTCCTGGGGCCTTTTCCTGGGTCCTCCTCCTGGGTCCTCCTTCTCCTGCTCAGTCCTTCTCCTCCTCAGTCCTCTTCTTCCTCTTCCTCCTCCTCCTCCCTCTCAGCCATCCTCCTCAGCCATCCTCTTCAGCCATCCTCCTCAGCCATCCTCCTCAGTCCTCCTCCTTCTCAGTCCTCGTCAGTCCTCCTCCTGAGTCTTCCTCCTCCTCAGTCATCCTCCTGAGTTCTCCTCCTCCTCCTCCTCCTCCTCCTAGGTCCTCCTTCTGGGTCCTCCTCCTCCTCCTCCTCCTGGGTCTTCCTGATCCTTCTCCTCCCTCTCAGTCATCCTCCTCAGCCATCCTCCTCAGCCATCCTTCTCAGCCATCCTCCTCAGTCCTCCTCAGTCCTCCTCCTCCTCCTGGGTCCTCCTCCTCCTCCTCCTCCTGGGTCCTCCAGCCTCCTGGGTCTTCCTGATCCTCCCCAGTCCTCTTCCTCCTCCCCTCCTCAGTCCTCCTCCTACTCTTCCTCCTCGTCCTCAGTCCTCCTCATCAGTCCTCAACAGTTCTCCTCCTCCCCAGTCCTCCTCCTCCTCCTGGGGCCTTTTCCTGGGTCCTCCTCCTGGGTCCTCCTCCTCCTGGGTCCTCCTCCTCCTGGGTCCTCCTCCTCCTGGGTCCTCCTTCTCCTGCTCAGTCCTTCTCCTCCTCCTCCTCAGTCCTCTTCTTCCTCTTCCTCCTCCTCCTCCCTCTCAGCCATCCTCCTCAGCCATCCTCTTCAGCCATCCTCCTCAGCCATCCTCCTCAGTCCTTTTCCTTCTCAGTCCTCGTCAGTCCTCCTCCTGAGTCCTTTTCCTCCTCCTCCTCCTCCTCCTCCTCCTAGGTCCTCCTTCTGGGTCCTCCTCCTCCTCCTCCTGGGTTTTCCTGATCCTTCTCCTCCCTCTCAGTCATCCTCCTCAGTCATCCTCCTCAGCCATCCTCCTCAGCCATCCTTCTCAGCCATCCTCCTCAGTCCTCCTCAGTCCTCCTCCTCCTCCTGGGTCCTCCTCCTCCTCCTCCTCCTGGGTCCTCCAGCCTCCTGGGTCTTCCTGATCCTCCCCAGTCCTCTTCCTCCTCCCCTCCTCAGTCCTCCTCCTACTCTTCCTCCTCGTCCTCAGTCCTCCTCATCAGTCCTCAACAGTCCTCCTCCTCCCCAGTCCTCCTTCTCCTCCTGGGGCCTTTTCCTGGGTCCTCCTCCTGGGTCCTCCTCCTCCTGGGTCCTCCTTCTCCTCCTCAGTCCTTCTCCTCCTCCTCCTCAGTCCTCTTCTTCCTCTTCCTCCTCCTCCTCCCTCTCAGCCATCCTCCTCAGCCATCCTCTTCAGCCATCCTCCTCAGCCATCCTCCTCAGTCCTCCTCCTTCTCAGTCCTCGTCAGTCCTCCTCCTGAGTCCTCCTCCTCCTCAGTCATCCTCCTGAAATCTCCTCCTCCTCCTCCTCCTCTTCCTCCTAGGTCCTCCTTCTGGGTCCTCCTCCTCCTCCTCCTCCTGGGTCTTCCTGATCCTTCTCCTCCCTCTCAGTCATCCTCCTCAGTCATCCTCCTCAGCCATCCTCCTCAGCCATCCTTCTCAGCCATCCTCCTCAGTCCTCCTCAGTCCTCCTCCTCCTCCTGGGTCCTCCTCCTCCTCCTGGGTCCTCCAGCCTCCTGGGTCTTCCTGATCCTCCCCAGTCCTCTTCCTCCTCCCCTCCTCAGTCCTCCTCCTACTCTTCCTCCTCGTCCTCAGTCCTCCTCATCAGTCCTCAACAGTTCTCCTCCTCCCCAGTCCTCCTCCTCCTCCTGGGGCCTTTTCCTGGGTCCTCCTCCTGGGTCCTCCTCCTCCTGGGTCCTCCTTCTCCTGCTCAGTCCTTCTCCTCCTCCTCCTCAGTCCTCTTCTTCCTCTTCCTCCTCCTCCTCCCTCTCAGCCATCCTCCTCAGCCATCCTCCTCAGCCATCCTCCTCAGTCCTCCTCCTTCTCAGTCCTCCTCAGTCCTCCTCCTGAGTCATCCTCCTCCTAGGTCCTCCTTCTGGGTCCTCCTCCTCCTCCTCCTCCTGGGTCTTCCTGATCCTTCTCCTCCCTCTCAGTCATCCTCCTCAGTCATCCTCCTCAGTCATCCTCCTCAGCCATCCTACTCAGCCATCCTTCTCAGCCATCCTCCTCAGTACTCTTCAGTACTCTTCAGTACTCTTCAGTACTCTTCAGTCCTCAAAATGTTTGCCTGCTAATGTCCACTAATGTCCGCTAATGTCCATCCAAGTCCGCCAATGTCCGTCCGGGTCCGCCAATGTCCGTCCGAGTCCGCCAATGTCCGTCCGAGTCCGCCAATGTCCGTCCGAGTCCGCCAATGTCCGTCCGTGTCCGCCAATGTCCCAAAAAACACGTCCGTTGTCTCATAGAATCCAAAAAGGACAGGACATAGGCGGACATAGACGGACATGACACCCCCCCATTATTTTTCTATGAATAGATCGGATTAGTAGAGTTCGATCTTAATTTGAGGTCTTATAGCATTATGCATTGGCCAGCATTTGAGTGGAAATCTGGGCTCTTATAGTGGGCTATAAATTTTTCTTTCACAGAGAGAATCGAATGGATTGCTCTTGCTGTGGCAGTAAATTTTGTATGGTCTAGAGTTTTATCGGATAACAAACCGGCTAGGTTAGTAATATTTTTGGGATGGAAGTTATATTTTTCTCTAACTGAGGAGTAGAGTAAACAGTCAGTTAAAACATGAATTTCTTCCTCAATAGGCTTAACCCCCTTGCTGAAAAAGCAGAAAGTGCACCATCGATGTTCTTTTGGTACTAGGGGGGTTTCGTAACGGCCCCTCTCAATGTAAAGGTTGTGGCAGCTAGGTTGTGTTAAGCTTTTCCGAGCATCAGGGATCTTAAACACTGCTGAGTATGTTTCTGGTTCAAAGTCATGTTTAATTTGATTATAGAATTCTAATTTAGATTTTGAAAAAATATTTACAATTTAAAAAAATATTTACAATAAATTATCTGAAACAAATTTACAACAACAAAAAAACAACAATTATTCAGGAAACCTCAAAGCTCGTCGTTTGGGAGATTAAACTTAAATTGTGTTTTGATGCAACGTTTGACCTGACTCTTAGCTTCTTTTTATTTGTTGTTAATTTTCTGACTATGGATTAGACTCAATATGTGGTATAGAAGTGTAATTTTTTTTGATAATTCCATACTCATATTTGTCCAAAAATTCTGAACTGATATAGAAGTGCATAGTTATGATATTTTCATACTAAATCTCACTAAATAGACTTGCACGTACATTTTCGGTGGTAATATTTTAATGTCGATGTTATGATTTGTTCATTATATTATCAGTGACCAAATTGTATTCACTGTTCAAATTATTCGACTTTTTTAAGTATAAACACTTTTTAGGGGTTTATTTTCAGATCTATCATGCTATTTCATACTAAATTGCTCATCGCAGCATTACCTATGATGATTATATTTTCATCATCAGCATGTTCAAATTGACACAAACAATATTTTTCTAACTGTTTGGTTCGACAATACACAGTCAGCTTAATCCAGGTAGCGGTAGAATGACAGTATTTTGTCACCCACTCGACATGATGGAAATGAAGTTCTGGAGAACAAATCTTTATAGGAGCTAACATTTCTAGAACTGTTATAAATGCTTTGTGACTTTTAGAAAGGAGAATGGCCCTAAACAAAGTGGGATTTTTAGTACAACAACGATTTTATTTGATACCCACAATCAATATGTCATATTAAGTTCAAATATTCATAGTCAGTATTACCATTTCACCGAAGTGGTTTTATGTACACCCAATAAGTTGCAAAAAAACTCCTTAGCGCTAAACTTTTTCTTTTATAAGTAACCAGTTTTGTGTTTGTCATCTACTTTTGAATGTAAAGTGATATATAAGTTTTAAAATATTTAACTAGATCAATGAAGTAAAAGAAGTATGAGGGCTCCCAAACTTGTTTTTTTACTTCTTGCGATTTTCTACTCATCAGGTAAGTTCCATCCAGATGCTGATAATTGGTGGAAAATGACTGTACGAAAAAAATTGAAATCCTGAAAAATCTCTGTGCACAACTGCATCAATATCTTATTCTACTGGTCAATTTCTACTAATGAGCACACAGACTTATGTCAAGACTGTGAAATTTGTTAAATATTCATATGCCTCTTGATTAAACCATGCAATACTGCCATTAAATTTCTAATTTGAAAACAATACAGACCTACGATTATTTAAATATAATAATGAATTTTTAAAGACGCGTTCTGTGGGCTGGACAAATTCGAATGTAGTGATGATAAAAGTTGCAAGGGAAGAGAAGTGCAGTGTGATGGACATAATGACTGTGAAGATGGTAGTGATGAAGCAGAATGTACACAAATACAGCGTAAGTTTTTTTCACGTTTAGCTTTCATGTTACTTTTTCTGTCAAATTATTAATTTGGATATCGAACAATTCTTGGAATTTCTTTGAAATTTGCAAGAAAATACAAATGTAAAAACATTCCAAAAATGTTGGTACATTTATATACATTTTTTTTACAGAATGTGAGGTTGAGAAACTATCGTGTGAAGCTACTGTTAATAATGAGGTGATAAATAAATGTTACGATACAAAAAATGACATTTGCAAAGCTGGTGGCTTCAATGCTCTGTGTGACAATCACGAGGACGTACAGCACTGTCGTAAGTTGAAACACATCACATGGATTTATATTTGATGTGATAAGTGGCACAACGTATGTCAGCCTGCTAATATTATTCTAAGATTGAATCAATCTTTCTTAAAAATCGTATCTAAGAACTAAACCACTTAGGTTGCAACCCTAATGAAGGACAAGACAAGCCGATACGATGCCCTACAACTGGTAAATGTGTCAAAGGAAACACACTAGCGGATTTTTGTGCTCAATGTCCGGATTCTGTTACATGTAAGTAAATCGTAAAAAGACACTGCCATGTCATTGTTAATTGTTTTCGAAAGATTGGGGCATTTATCTGACAGGTTAATTAGACAAATTTCAGCTTTTCACAAATTACAAAACGTTATGAAAGTTGCCAAAATGTGTGCTAATATAGCTGTTTGACACACAGAAATTTCCAGCGGTCATTAGTTGACTTAAAATGATTAAGATGGTTGTCGGTGATAATGATCTTTGGATTCTTAAAATGGCTATTCACATCCATATTCATATATTATTGTTATGATATCATAATGATTGAAACAACTATTTCCCAATTTATTTCCAGGTATGTCGAAGGCTGACGCTGCTATTCAGAAAGATTGTAGTAGATACAAAATAGACGGTTACTTCCAATGTATACCCACTGCAGAGTTTATAGGTAGTGAATCATTCGATAAAGTATGTCTTCCTGAAGCCGCTCAATGTGACTCATTTATACAGTGCCAAGGCTCCTCGGATACCCCCGCAGTGAGTTAGCTACTAGTTTAAGTAACATGGTATATTGTGAATCAGTATTCTTGTGACTATATTTTGCACTTGTTTATTAAAATCATGAATGAGTGAATGGGAAATAAAAAACCATTATTAAAACGGAAATACTGGTACTGATAATTCTTATGGTTGATAGTTAACCAGGGGTTTAGGAAGAGGGGGGGGGGGCAGGGAGGCACCCCTGTAGTTAACTGATAATATCACTTAGTTATGTGTAGAAGCTACAATAAAGCTAGAAAGCTCTTCCTCGCCCGCTGGAGTATACATTGGAGACGATGTTGTCAATGCATATGAAGTAAAGGGGAAACCTGAGCCGACCGTGAGTATGAGAGTCACAAAAAGTTATACAAGTCATAAAGTATGAATTTCTTTGCTGAAGAAATGTGTCATTAAATCATTACGATATTTACGATAAGTAACAATAATTGTCAATACATTTCCCGATTTCTTCCATCTGGCAAGTGAAATATTAACACCCATTTATTTCAGTTTAAAATTTACCATTACAACAAGGAGATACTTTTAAGCAGTGATAACACATACTCATACGAAGGAACTGAGATTAGCGTTAAGAAAGAGCAAAAAAGTCTTGAATTATACAAATACGAGGTTACCTTACGGCACAATGATATTGATTTACTCATTTATCGTTGGTAGTTTGCAACAATGTATGACACCATTATCATTTGCATGTTGTGAGATAACATTGCAAATTTAATAATTTTCAGGTCACTATAAAAAATATCAATGAATATTTCTATGGAACATATGACGCCATTGCTTGGAATGTAAACAACGAACCTGTTGACCTCGGAGGTAAGATGATCCTAAACGATATGAAACTTTAACAGCTGTCGTAAATTTGCGAGGTCAATGAAATATCATATGATTTTTTATCGCGCTAATTATACAATACACTTCAATATATTTGAATAGAAACGATTGTTTATAATATCAAGTTGTGTGTAAAAATATGTATCGACAACTGCGGTAATTTCAGATGGCAACGACGGGTCTTACCACAGGAGAGTTGTTGCGGAACAAGTAAATGTTAAATTCGAGGGTATGTATGCGTTTTCATTTTTCTCATTTTTATAAACAAAATAAGAAAGGAATGGTGATACAACTGTGAAGCTCTTTTTCAACAAATAAAACACATATTTACATGCTTCTACAACATTCTTATACATTTTTTAATCAATAAACTTTCAAATTGTTACACAAATACATCATTTTATTTCAAAGAAAATTCGCCGAATGACCTTACATGCCTTGACAAGTGACCGAGTGTAAACAAAATAAGGGACACCGAAACACCAGTTGACCAGTAAACTGGTCATAGCAATTACATTGGGCCCTATATGCACCTATTAGTGAAGCGGTACTGCAACCAAGGCATGCTAAGTTTATTCCATTCGACTAATAAGGTTACAGCCTAAAATATAGAAAATAATACGATTAAAAACTGTTTCATAAAGAAAAAAAATTGACTTGGTTTATCTTTTATTATTTTAGATATACAAGTTTTATATCTAAAACTAATCAAATAAAATGACTAATTAATCCTAATCGAGTCAGGTGTACCAACTGTGAAGATGTTCGGACCGGACGACGAAGAGTTGAATGGTGATATTGACTACACCTGGGAAACCGATGTATCTCTCAGTCTGAAATGTGTTGCTACAGGCAAACCTGAACCTGATATTTATTTCATGTCAGTTTAACTTCTGTTAAGTTTATCCCCAAGCTAAAGCCTACAATTCAACTTATCTCAGTTAAATTTCCAAAGTTTAAATCAGTTCAAGGGCTTCCAAATTGCTTAATCTGAAATTTTATTGATAACCGTAATATATAAACGATACTACAGCAACATTGAACAACCTTTGTTGAAATGTTATTCTCGTGCTTTACCACCTTACTCAGGCTGGACGGGGAAAGTTTGTACATTAATGACGACACAATGGAGGTTCAAACGGAAGAGTACAATGAGGTTGACATGTTAAAAGTGGTTACTCTGGTTTTGAAATCTGGCGATATCGTGAACACGTTAGTATTGAACTATTCTTTGTGAACAGTTCTTGTAGCTTTGACAGCGTTTATTTATAAACGCTGCAGGTTATTTATAAATAACCTGCACCCAACACTATAAATCCTATTTAGAACTTAGTCTGCTTCAGCTACCCCTTTATCTCTTATGAAACTCATAAGTTTACCAACTCCATATCGAGTTCAACAACTCTCATATTTCTATTGAAAGTTTCGAACACTAAGTCCCACCAGCAATCAGTATCTGAATGTAAACATTTCTTAGACCCGGGAGATACAGTTGTGGTGCAAACAGTGTCATCGGCGAAGTTGTCTCAGTTGGAGGAGTCAAAGTTGAGCGTAAGTCATTCAGGAACAATAAATTACACAAAAGCAGAAGTAACCAACAATCAACATAGTTGATTTTGTAGGATTCTCAGTTTGCGCGGCTCTGATTTACGGAGTTTCTGAAATTCCGGGTTGCTGGTGTTCTTTACATTACCAGCTATTATACTGCCTCCAGTCAGTGAAGTATCATGATTTCATAGCTTCGCCACATCAAGGAACAGCACACATATTTCAGTGATAATTCCTCCCGTAATCACGGAGTTCACCGGCATGGAAAACGGGTTCTTCTTCTACAGAAATGATGAAGAAGTTCAGATCTCATGTATTAGTGAAGGATTCCCACTCATGTGGTATGAAAAGCAAAGTATTGTAGATAGATATTTGTTGGTCGTTAAAATCATTTTTTTAAATGCCCAAAATGGCGGAGAATTGTAAAGGAGCGTCTCACAAACCCGTCCCCAGTTCAGTATCTCTTACAGGAACGATCTGTACGTCGATAACGAGAAGATAGAAGGCGCAGATGTGGAGGTCAAGAGATTAGACGCGGGTGCTACCTTATCGGTAGGAATGTAGGAATTATGTTTTTTAAATGAGATCCTTGAAGAGTGAAGATGGTTTCATGCTGAAATCTTTTAAAATGGGTGTCGCACCTAAGAATTAAATATAAAGATAGATAAAACATAAATCGATTATTATCATACTTTGCCAAAAAGTTTTAATAACCTCATTCAGTACACTTACAAAAGCGACCAAAACGGTAAAATCAAGTGTATCGCTAAGAACAGCCCAGAATCAGCAGACAACAAAGAAACTGATGAAGAAGAAGTGGACATGTACCCAGTCTGTGAGTTTGACATGTACCCAGTCTGTGACTTTGAGATGTACTGTACAATAACAGTCTTTTGTGCCGGTTACCAGTGATTATCAGTTTTGTTCTACTACTTTGTGTTGACTACTGCGTTGATAAGAGGGTATAGGAAATATTCGTATAACGTAGTTCGAGCCTGAGCATATACCCATAAGCGGGAAAAAAGCAATGTTGTGTTTAAAAGTAATCCAGGTTAACTGGCTTCGACAACTTGGCTTTTTCGCTACAGTCACATCTTTAAGATGTACTTTTGGCAGATCCAAAAAAACTGATACCAAATATTATCAATATGATCAAGATTAAATTACTTTACATTTTACTACAATTATCTGGTGAATCTACCATTATTTTACCCCTATTCCACTTTTCAGTCCTGCCAACCATCGCGGTGGAACAGGAATCCTTCATTTTAACTGCTGGAGATAATTTCAAGACCACAATCAAAGTAGAGTTCACCGCAGATCTTAAGTTGATTGCCGACCAACTAACAGCGGAGTAAGACAAAGACATATTTTGAAAATTCAGAAAATCAGAAAATCTCATGACCCGTAAAATCATGATTTCAATCTGTATTAAAATTTCAAATCGATCTAAGTTTTTTTCATAGATTTAACCGAGAGTCCCCTTGTACCAAATATTATTAAGATAGCAGTCCCACAAAACATAGAGGTGAAATTAGCATACAATGTTGGTTAATTAACAATATCTTATAGAAGTAATGTTTCAGAGTGGTATACGCAGACGGTAGTGCAGTAAGTGAAGCCTGGACACTGGTTAAAAAGGACGACACCGAAGGAAACATTGTGTAAGTCTCGCTGGTTTCAGCTATTTCAGCTGTTTTAGCTGATGCTATCAGTGGGGTTCTAGTCAGTTACCGTTGGGATTTCTGAGAGAGCTTGACATGTGGTGGGATTGAAATTGAACATATTATTGGTCGTTATTGAGATACAAATAAGCTTCTTCCCAATCATTTGATGATATCTTGTGTTTGTGAACATCGGGAATTTAAACTTCTTATGAATTGCAATCAGTTAAGACTGTCAGATTATTTGTATAACAAATAATGACTAATAATGCATCACAGGGAGTTTGACTTATCGGCAGCTGATGTAGTTGGTATCCCTAATATCGGGGATTTCAAAGTGATGGCTAGTGATACTTTTTACAATGCCGAGACGGGAATAACTATTGATGTTCTAGGTAAAATTGAGGTTCTATTTTCAGATAAACTTAAGTCTCTTATGTCTATCCGATTATTTTACTTGGCTTGACTGTTGAAATTGTGTGTGGATACTGGATAGTGGATACCGAAAGTGCTTTAGATGTAAACTATGTCTATCTCGGCAATTTTAACTTTTTAATGTCCTAACGGGTTCATTGCAGCTGGAACATTTTAAAACTACAAATATAATCCTTCATCCTCTCAGTACCAATGTCATTTATCAAACCTATTGGAGATAACTTGAAGTTGAACAAAGGTCAAGAACTGACTTTAGAAGTACAAGTAATCGCTAAGCCTGTTCCTGTGAGCTTTGCTTGGACACTTAATGAAACTGAGCTTGTGGATGATGCGTAAGTTTAATCCGTAATTAATATTAACGTTGACTTGAATTTTATTGAAAACAAAATTGAACATGTAATATTCATATTACATGCTCTTATAACAGATCCAGGTAAGGGTTAGGGAAAGCGGTAAGGATTCGGTCCACTATTATAATTGCTGGGCCCAATATCTCTTAACTTCTCATTTAAGTCTCCGTCACGGTTACCTGTTTATTTAAAGCTTGAACTCTGAGCGTTTTGATCACGTGACTAGTTGTGTGCCACTGGACCACCGTCCACCACACTTCTCAATATTTAGGTTGGGGTTAGGAGAGTCTGAATGAGGCGATTTTTAGCATCGTTTAAATTCTTAATCCCTTTTTTGTATTCAGACCATTTACCTCTATACATACGAAAGTTTATTCAAATAACCTCTGAAGAGCTATAATCCATTTATTTCAGGGCCACTATATTCATTGAGGAATCTTTCGACGCCACAACCTACATCACAACGTACACTCTGAGACTTGTAGATCTAAAAGAGGAACAAACAGGAACCATCTCTGTTGGAATAACTCGAGGAGACGACGAAACTCTGTCCGGGTCTATGGAGCTAGAAGTGCTAGGTAATATTTCCGGGCACCTCTGGTGTAACCAGTATAAGTTGTGCAGCTTGTGATACGACTAGCTAACTTCTTAGCCTCCTTGTATTGAGTATATGTACAGGATATAGGGGGAACCAGGATCAAGCTGCATTTTATCAGCGGTTCAAGTTATTAACTCTTTAAGTTATTAAGTTATTCAAGTTATTAACTCTTTAAGTTATTAAGTTATTGAATATTGAAGTTATTAACTCTTACAGTTATTAAGTTATTCAAGTTATTAACTCTTCAATTTATTAAGTTATTGAATATTGAACTCATTAACTCTTACAGTTATTAAGTTATTGAATATTGAAGTTATTAACTCTTTAAGTTATTAAGTTATTGAATATTGAAGTTATTAACTCTTACAGTTATTAAGTTATTGAATATTGAAGTTATTAACTCTTTAAGTTATTGAGTTATTGAATATTTAAGTTATTAACTCTTTAAGTTATTAAGTTATTGAATATTGAAGTTATTAACTCTTACAGTTATTAAGTTATTGAATAAGTAAGTTACTAACAGTAACTCTAACTTTTATCTCTCTCCTGCAGCGCATCCTTGCCTGTTTTTCCCTTGCAAGAACAACGCAGAATGTCTTGAAGTAAGCAAGACAGAATACGAGTGTGAGTGTACCGACGATTTCTACAACGGCACTAACTGTGAAATAAACAATTACTGTGCTCTGTAAGTGCCCCCTACTTTATTACAACTGTTAAGCTGCGTAAAATGATTCATGTTTTTATTTTTTGTAGATTGAGTAAGGTTATTATATTGTTATAATATTGTTTCCGCTGTTACGGTTAAGTTGCAGTGTGTTTCCCAATATCCTCGCCGATTCTAGTGATTCGACAAAATGTGAAGAATTTTACCATTTGCGTGGAAATAAGATTAATCGTCAAAATTGAACAGTTTCGACCCTTTGTAAAGTTGAATGATTTATATTTCATATATTTAAGCCAAGACCCGTGTGAAAATGAGTCCACCTGCGAGTCTGCCGCATGGGATGCTGAGGAGCCAATTTACACATGTCTGTGTCCGTTTGACTACGAAGGACGAAATTGTTCAGACAAGGTTTTTAAGTTTCTTTAATTCGTGTTTTTTAATTCGTTTTTTGATATAAACTATAATTAGTTACTTTCTTCTAGTTCTAAACATCCTGTTCAGTGATCACTGAGCAGGTTTTATAATAAGGATTCCAGTCAGCTCATACGACCATGTTTATAATTATATGTTGACTGACGGAATCTTAGATTAAATTCTGGGGACTGTGATATATTATCCTGATTAATAAAATCTCAGATCAACTTCTGTGACAGAGATAAAGAAGGAAATGTGGAACTCGGAGGGATCGCTAGGTGTGACGAGGCCTCTGGTTTCGGTAAATGTCAAGACACGGGTGTTGAACCCGATGGTTTCGACTGTTTTTGTAAGCACAATAAAGGCGGCATGTACTGCGATATTGAACAGGTTTGTTCGTGCGTTTGTTCATTTGTTAAATTTATAAAGATGTTTATAATTCCATGAATTAATTGTGGTCCATTAAAACAAAAATCAGCAATGTATCAGTTTTTGGAATTTCAGCCCACGGTTGTGCAAGAAATTTAGATGGTGCCCTTGTCATATCCATTTATTCCTTTGTAAAGTGCAATAATAAGAAACGAGCTCCTTGGTCTGCGAAAATCCAGATTTTTCGAAAGAATTTAAAATGATCTAATACACCAAATATCTTAAATCCATTGTCACAACTAAATTTTTCTGTTACACCTCGAAAAAAGCAAACATCTCTTCGAGTTAGTCTGGCATCACATAAACGACCTAAATTTAATTTAATAGGCGCCTTTAACCAATAACTCAAATGGCATTTGCTAGACCACGAAATCTGATGCTCTAATAAAAATCGCATGATTAGATTTACACCCGTAAAGAGCCCCCTGGATTATCGTCACCTGACAACGACACTATGCTGTCACGTGTTCTCGTGGGTGCTCTGATCACATGACAACATGGGTGCAAGGCAATCTTTTCCTCTGTCTAGGAACACCGAAAACTTGTGGGTCCTCTTGATAACAACTCCAGGGTTGATAATGTAGTGAATTTAATTCCATGACGATTGGAACATTATTATAATCAACATGACGTTATCACATGATATGTTGTCCCAGAACCTTATCGCTGAGGACCAATCACTGAGGACCGCGTCTTATTAACTTAAAGCGGAATAAAATGTGTGCCCGAGAAATATAATTTGCCGGGTGGCATCCCAGGTTCTTAACCCTCGACTAATGGAAGTTGGAATGTTTAACCGTGTTTTATCGCAATTCAAGAATTTAGGGACCCCATGAGTCGGTATTACAGCATTTCATTGTAAAGAATCACATACAACAATCAACAATGACTGGGCTGGTGCAGAAATTGTCATTTCTGTGAATGAATACATTCATGGGGAGATTTCGTAAATTTTATTCAACAAAATCCAGGTATGAACACTATGAAGTCCGTAGAGGGATTACTGAAGCTTCCAAAATGGTCCTTTTTTATTTTACTCACGACTTTTAAAACATCATATGTAATGTTTTGAGATGCTAACTTAAGTGTGGTGGTTTTGAAATTTTGAAATTTTGAAATTTTGAAATTAAACCTAATCCTCCTTTTTCAGCTGTGTACTCCCAACTCCTGTGCTAACGATGCAACTTGCACCGTCCAAGGATACGGTGAGGACCGTGTCCGTGTCTGTAACTGTAACGACGGGTGGGAGGGTCATCTCTGTGACGTAAGTGGGACAACTTTTATTTCTGGGACAAGATTTATTTCTCTGTTGTATTGACTGTGGTACGTCGCTATGTTTAGAAGTCAGGGGTGAAGTTACTCTTTGTTAAAAACAATTCTTTTGAAAACAGATATTATAACATTATTTAGGTATAAAAAATGATATCATTATGTTAAAAATGTTGTTAAAAACAAATGTTTTGCAAGTAGTTGTTAAAACATTATTTAGCTATTAAATATGTAAAATATAACTTCAGGAGAAAACAACAGGGTACTGCTGGACAGATTGTAATGACCGTGCTTACTGTGAGGAAGAGGGGGTGTGTCTGTGTGACTACCCTTACTATGGGGACACGTGCGAACTACGTACGTTAACTCTATTTCTAGAACATATACCAGCACAAGCTGCTGGTCCAGCAGCTTTATTGTTCTTTTGGAGTTACATTCTTTGGTGAACATAACCATCATGATTCATTCGTATCATATGTTTTACAAAATTCTCGTCCCCCGAGCACCATGATGACATCATATCTCCACTCTCCAGATATAAGCGACGTTGCTGTGAACATGAGAATTGCACCCCGTGCATATCTGATGGCTGAAACCTATCCCCTAATCGCGGAGGAGCGACTACAGAAACACGTTTTACCTCTTAAGATAGAGCCGTCACCAACCGTGTCGTGCCGTATCGCTAGGATGAGCGCTGATAAGGATGCCACTGGTGATCATCTTGATTTCGGTATCTCGGTTACAGAGTCCGCTATTTCTGAGACAGAGAGTGTGACTGTTGTTGCGTTTGAAGTTACTGGTCTGATTGGAGAAGTGGCCGTGTCAGAGACTGTTGACAAGGTTATATCATTAAATTATACCTGTGTTTTAGTTACATTTTGATTATGATATTTAAAGTATGATTGATTTTAAAAACTTTTATATTTTGAAACCAGCCTTGAAATGCAATTTCAGGTAACCTTTGAAAGGATTTATTACTGGACCAGACCTAATGTGTATTTTTATAATGCTACGCTGATTATCTATTTATTCAATCTATTACCCAACAGGTAATGGTGGCAGAAATTGTGGCAATATCCCTGATGGCTGTCGCGGATAAATACGTAGTGTTCTCAGTTGAACATGCTGGAGATGGAGGAATTGCAGCTAAAGAGATGGAACTAGCCCTGCCAGAATTAGCATTCCTGAAACTTGGTGATTTCGAGGTATATTAGATTACATGGGTTGATGTATCAATGCTCCATTAACACATATGCCCTTCCGTTCCTATTATAATCACGGAACACAATTGGTCAGTTTAAACTTTAAATTCACAGATGTGTTCGTAATAATTTATGTTAAACAATAACATAATGCCAGTTTCACATCATGGCAAAGGTTTCTAAAAGATTGGCAGTCTAATATATCTTTACAGATTAAACATAATATTCACCATACTGATTCCTGTAGGTTCTTTAGAGTTATATGATAAGAAATAATACACTTTTACAATAACAATGTCCGGTAGGAGGGAGTTGGGTGTGGTGTGGTGCTGATCGGACATGTTGAGGCAGGTGATTACGCTGTTAACCCAGCTGCCGGTTACTCTGAGGGACGATCTGTTGAGCAGCTTGATGCCTGTTATCACAATCCCTGTATGAATGGAGGTGGGTTTATTGTGACGTGCTGATTGTTGTGTTTTATAATGTCACTGTCCCTGATTGGTTAGTTAGAATTTAGCATTTTGGGCAATGTTAACTGCTTGATCTATTGAAGGCGATAATGAGACTTCTATTTTGAGTATTTCAAACAATACGTGGTCTGACGACAAAAACCCCAAACCATCTGGTCCTTGAGAAATTCCAATAGCATGTTTGTTAAAATGGTTAAAAACGTCTCAGGAGAATGTGTTGGTGATGAAAGTACTGGGGCCCAGTCTTGTGACTGTTCTGGCACTGGCTTCACTGGAGCTCTCTGCGAGATTCCAGTAAGTTTCCTAATACCGAGGAATTCTTTTAGAGGTTTTGTTTCATCTATGTAATAAGGCTGAGCACAGTATGGAAGGTCATACAATTCTCGATAAATATTTTCATCCTAGTTTAAACGGAGTTTAAATCAAAGTTTTGGTAAATTAATTTATATTATGACACCAGCGCAGCCGTCAAAAGACAATCCTTAGCGAGTTTTTTGAGAATCTAACATATAACCAATTTTAATTAACTCATTATCCAATTATTTAATTATCTAATTATCTTTACTAATCAGGATGACGAATCATGCGATAAGGGCTGTCTGAACGGTGGCGTCTGTCAATCTGATTTCTGTGTCTGTGCTTTGTCATTCCACGGTACGGTTGGCTCGCATTCTTACTAAAGTTCAAGCAGTTATATAAATTGTCATTTCTATTAGTTAAGATGACAGTTGTGTTTTTAATAAACGTTTGAAGTTAATATAGAGTACTATCAATTGTCATTTAATAGAATTAAGGATTACGGTTGTGTGTTGTGACTCCGTTAATCACTTCGCTGCTAGGCTAAACTTCAGGTCTTTATCTTATGGTGCCCTTCTCTGTTCACAAGCCAAAACTAGAAGGCAGGGCATCAAAATGAGCAGATCACCCACAATCCCTGACATTACACTGTAACTTCAGGAGTGTTATGTGAAGCTAGTCACGAGGTTACTGGAACCATGAAACTGTCCGGTGGTGCTAGCGAGGTTTCTTTCAGTCACTCTAATATCACCGCTGTCGAGTAAGTTTTGGTTTAAAACAGCCTTGATAGTTTTTGATGGAATCAGTTTTTACGTTATCAAACGATTCATCACTTTTGGGCATCCGATTATTTGTGTGGTTCCCATGAAAATATATCGTTTGATTAATATAAAATTAAACCACCAGAATCCAAGCGACGGGGCTGGCTGACGCTACAGTTGCTAGTGATGTTTACCTGATAACTATCGGAGATCAGGACAACTGTGTCAAGGTAAAATATCTGTGCCAAGAGGGAGTATTTGGTAACCGCCACCCTTTATTTGGACGTTTATCTACAATGTGGTCAATGTGCCTGCTAAATCGGGGGCTAAACCATATTTTTAACGCTTTTATCTGTTCTTTTAAACTGAGTTCTATTGTAGCATCCTGTATCAACTTTCCAATATTTGAGAAGGGTGAAGAAAAATCAAATGCTCTGAACCTCTCAATGGAAAACACTCAACCAAAATAAATTATCCCTCCGACCTTATCTCACCTTTAATTTAACTGAGTGGATTTTGGGTCTGTGCTTACTGCTTAGTCGCTGAGTTTAAGTTTTACAGTCGGGTGAGATTCAATTAGGTTAAGTGAGGTTTAATGAGGTTAAATGAGGTTAAATATAGTGTGTTCTCACCTCAACTGACCCCACTAGATCCTGGTGTCAGACACAACAGAACTGTATATGATAGTGGAGCGTGGAAAGGAGAGCGGTGCCTACGAGGGACTGGGTTCTCTTGCTGATTACCTTGTTGAGGGTACCCTTCAAATGTCCATTTCTCTTGGAGAGGATGTGAGTTTTTATGAGCTGTTTTTCTGTTTCATTTCTATTTTCGGAGAGAGATAACTTTTCTTACACTATAATTTTTTTAAACGTGCTAACACGTTAATGGTCACAGTTCTTAATTTTCAAGACGTCTTACTTTTAAATAATGCTTCGTGAAAACTAAAACCGTTCTCAAATTCCAGATTCAGATAACCAATGCCGCTAGAGATCCTGTAGTTTACACTGCAGATGAGCTACCTTGTGCTGACGGTCTAGGTTCGTTCTCGATTGGTTACTTAGTTACTGAATACTGACTGTGTTACCAAGTTACCTCGGTCACTAGGCAACACAGTTACCAACCTAATTACTACCTGTCCCTAATTGTATCACTGATTATATTATTAAATTACTTCCAACCACTCTGACCCCCTTCATTAGGAACTACCGACGGTCTGGCAATTCACGGTCTGGAAGGTATCACCTCTGACGTCACTGCCACTATCAACGGGGAGGCTGCCACGGCAACCGGTGGCAAGGGGGTCGTCAACTCGGCTGTTTCGAGTAAGGATAGCATCATGCAATTAGATCGTATCATGTATTGTGTATAATAATGTATAATAATGTATACTTTGCAAGTAATATGGAAGCGTATTAAGAGTATGTTAATGATTTGATAAGCAGCTAATCAGTAGGGTGTCTGAACTATCGTGTAAATTGGAGAGAGAGAGAGAGCAAAGGGCCAGCCTTCTTTTGTTACATACCACAGTAAAAATGTTTTACTGTGTGGTTACATACATACAAGGTATTATACGGCCGAGCATTATGGTTCTTGTTAGAGATGTTAGAAACATGGGAACGATTTATCCTTTTAAGGTCTTACAATTGCCACCTTAAGAATAACAAATAACTCTATTTTGTGAATCACCATAATGTAAATTTTATCTTCTCCCCTTAAAATCACTCTGCTAATCCCTCAAAACATATAATAAGGTAAGTTATAGAACTCCTGACCAAACGAGTGCCGAAGGCACGAGTTTTGTCAGGAGTTCTATAAATTGCTTATGGTACGGCACAAGACTACAGTCTTGGGAACATTTTCCGACCAAAATTTTGAAATTTGGTGCATTTTAACAGTGTCAAATTGGCAAAAACTGTATCTACTTCCGACACAAAGTGTTCATTGTCCAATGAGCATCCTGCCATGCTGCTACCATCGTGTTACTCTCGTGGTTGCCACATGACAGCTTACCTAACTGCTATTGGACAGCGCACTTTTGTCACGTGAGTTACATTTATTGAGTACAGTACGGAATAAATGTAAGTGGTAAGTATCGGTGTCAAAGAAGACGCTTGCATTCTAAAAGGAGTAAGATATTATGTTACAAAGAATGAAATAGTTTGGCATGCAAATTGATATTTTAATACTTCACAGTGAAATGAACTTCCGCTCTCGCGGGAAAAGACAGCTCTGTTCCTACATTTTTATCATTGTCTTCAATTTTATGTGGCACCTTTCCGATAGACATATTGTTGCTGTCAAATCTCATACTTATTTCGACGTGTCCTATCTGGTTAGGCAAAGTAATCAGAGTGTTTGTATCTATTGAAACCGTTTCCGTCCATCTTGATTGTACTTGTTCTACTTCAAAGTCGTCAAAGTCTGTAACTAGTTGGGAGCCTTCAGATGTTTTTAGCCAAATAAGTGCTTCGGCGAGTTCTTTATTCAATTTAGATTTCTTTGCTTCTTTTGGGGACACTTTGCCACCATATTGTTTATCATTGAAGGAACACCACAGTCCAGCGGGGCATACCTATGCCCCAAACGGGCGTGCTCCTCTCTCCATGTGTTGTACAAATTGACCGCGAATTGAGTCGATTTTCGTGTGTTTTCTGGTATTCGGCCTTTCCTGAGAGCTTCAAGTTCATCTTTTTCTATCAAAATAATACGAGACGTCATTATGTAAACAAAACAGTGCGATTTAATTTCAAATTTTTGGTCCATTTCCTGTTACAATTTATGAAAGTAGTTCCTTCCGATCTACTCCACTAATTTAAAACGTTTGAGATGATAATTCATTTTTCAAGTGGCCGCACTTTTGTCACGTGAGTTACATTTATTGAGTACAGTACGGAATAAATGTAAGTGGTGAGTATCGATGTCAAAGAAGGTGCTTGCGTTTGAAATGATATTTCATATTTCAAGCAAATTGTGAGCTGTGAATCTAATTTTGCTTAAGCATGAAATCCAGCCCTTCTCGCTGGCTAATATTGGTCACGTTATCTATCAGCTGACTATACCTCGTGACTGCGTCACTCGGTGACCACGTGCCCGACTGGCTGGTGCCGTACCATAAGGTTAAAAAGCTCATTTGAAGTATTGGTTCTTAAATCCAGGATCTTAGGTAAATCGGTATTATCCACTGCTTTAATTTACCATTAATTCAGGAGTCAACTCAACCTCTGTAACCTACATTTGATTTTTTTAAAGACGTTTCTATAACTTATTTTAGCAGTAGACTAAAATATAATTGTCTGATAAACACATTTCAGACTTGTGTGACGGAGCCTGTGGTGCGGGAACGTGTGAGCAGGCGAACAACCAGATAAAATGTAGTGGATGTGTAGAGGGTACCAACCTGGTCACATGCTCTGATGTAGTTTGTGATGTGGAGTTGTGCGAGGGAGAATGCACTGATATTGGGTGAGCTTTCTGGTTTTGGATTTTGAAACTGCTTTTGATTAACGAGTTACGAGACTAGCGTTTTGTGATACAAGCAACAAATATTGTAGACAGTTTTTGGGTTTTCCAAATAGTTTCTGATTATTCTGATTTGCGACAAATGATATTGCACTGTTAGGATAAACGACGTTTCAAAGTAACAACTTCTTATTCATGCTGACAAAATTGGTAAATATGTGAGAAAACTGTCTCATAAAATTTATTAATCAAAAATGGCTAAACGACAACAAATTGTTCAAATACTCGACTAAAATTAGGATCAAAATCTATATATATACACCACTACTCGATCTGCTATTCAATAAACTTAAAACATCCACTAAACAGCAAGTACGTGATTGTGATCGTGTGATGGAATGACATGTACAGTGATAACAGATGATAAGATGTAAGTGATAACAGATGATAAGGTAAAAGATACAATACATGTGAGATGGTGTATACACAATGTGAGTGAAATTATAGTGAGTGGTTACTGATTGTGAGCGAGATGTGAAAAAACATTAAAAATTACTACTGCTAGAAAACTGAAACTGTATGCAATAAAAAGGGAATGAAACTAAAATATCTAAAATTCTTCAGTACTAGCTATGATAAAACGTTTAATAGTATCCAGTTCTTCTCTCTTGTTAATATAATAAATATTGTGTTCACTCTCAAACACATAAATTTTAATGTGCATGATTTTAAATCCGTATAGTATTCTTGTGACTTAAATTGGCTGTCAAGCATCTGCACAACATGAAACTATTACCTAGAGAATACCAAGTTCTGATTTAATTACAAAAGTCACGCGACCCCGGAGGGATTCGAACCCCCAATCTTCTGATTCGAAGTCAGACGCCTTAGCCATTAGGCCACGAGGCCGCTGGAAGATTTGCTAAAATTGTTATCCAACCCAGGGAGTGCGTATGCGAATTGGGACAGGAAGGAGTGAATTGTGAAACAGGTTAAATTAACTTTTTTACAACTACTGAAGAAGTTTGTCGATTTGTTCAAAATATAATATGAATTCCATATCCTTTCATCCGAAAACTCAAAATTGCTAACCTGTATGCTTAATCTATTTATTTTTTTATCGCTAACTTATTTGTTCTCAGCCGTTACACTTGGACCTCTATCTCTTCCTGTAACTACTTCTTCATACTACTCGTATGCTGAATATGAAACCGAAGCTTTCGAAGTGAGTAAAATCAAATTAAATCATTAGTACAAGCCATTAGAATTTAGAATTCGTTCTGAAACTTTTACAACGAACCAGCGGTAGAATTTTCATCGACAATTCACATTTTCACAATGAACCATCGCTTTGGTCGCTGAATATTTTGAGGAAATTAAACGATTTTCCTGTGGGATTGTTTGTAAAGATAAGCCGCCATTATTTTTTGTAAGACGCACTTTAGATTTCAATAAGAAAAAAAGTTTGAAGAAGGCATATATTACGCCGCGCAATAATGCTTTGCACATGTTTGACATGTGGTTATACATGCCTTCGTATTACCCGATAGTTGATAATTGATCTCTACTTTCAGGGCGATGCTGCTCAACTAGAGTTCTTTGCTCATTTGGATGGATCTGAGCAAATGGGACTGTTAGCAATGGCCGGAAACGAACGCCAATACATTGCTGTAAAACTTGGTGAGTGCCGATTATCACAGTGAGGCCCTGATCAAAACATGTAATCAATTTCTCAACCGCAGACGGGCCTGAAAGGAAGGAAAGAAAAATTTTTTTCCTCGGCTCTTTTCAACTTCTCCTCAATAATTTAACCCTCCCACTTTTCTCAGCTAAAGACGTGATGACGGTTGTGGCGCACTGTTCTGACCTTGTGCACGTGGAAGCAAGTGTTAGCGGAGTTGGGTATGGTGAGTGGTTGGAGATTTCTGTGACGTGGGCTGATAACTTCCTCACCCTCGCTGTTAATGGGGATAACGACGTACAGGTTAGCTGTGATTATCTCGTTTGGGTTGTTGTGTTCTTGCTATGTTTTGGTTATTTAATGGAATTATCAATAGTCCAACGGTTTCAACATTAGAATGACATATTTTAACATGTTCTAGTTTTTCATAACATCCTCTTTAACAAACAAAATATTTCTCAGGAAGAAGCTGGATTATGTATATTTGACATGGGTACAACTATATATCTTGGAGGTATGCCAGATGGCAGCGTGCCAAGTGTAAAAGCCACATTTGCTCCAGCAACCAATAGTAAGTAATTAGAGACATTTATCTTTTGAGTAAACATTAACCAGTAAATAAAGCTGGTTCCCAATCAATCAATCATAGTGTTTACACCCTTGGAAGCTCTATCTGCTGAATTAGAACAAGATCTTCTGAAAATTTTATCTTCAGGGAAAGAAGATTTTGGTGTAAAATTAATCCAGATTTTGAAGGCTAATAATGTTACAACCACTGTTACTTTAACGCCGTCTTCACGCCAATATCTTAACACAGTTAAACCCCCAGTGATGCCCCTTAACTCTAGACTTGCGGGTGGACAGAGTCTTGCAGTCTCTGAGATCCACATTTGTGACACACAATTCGACCCATGCAGTGTCTTAGGTTAGTTATACTCAAAGTATTGCTTTTCTCCTCGATACTGTTTTATAATTGCAACCATTTATTCGATTCTGTGAGTATGGTTACTATAACTTGGTCAACTGCTTTCTTTATAATTAACTATTACTAATTAACTATAATTAACAACTGCTTTCTTTATAATCAATTGTTAATATCTTAAAGCTCCAGATTGTTAAGCAGACAAGAAATAGATTTTTAAGTTTATGCAGTCTCAATTATTGTCAACCAGGAACGGACACGTGTGAAAAGGATGATGAAGGATACAGCTGTATGTGCAAGGACGGATTCAAAGGAGTACATTGCGAAGCGCCCAAAACGCCCTGTGACACAGTTAGTACAAACTCTGCTGTAATTTCTCATCTGACAGAGAATTCTCTCACCAACCAATCCATAAACCCCTTTCGATTTGGCCTCACTAAATCTGTCTCCCCCAGACAGTGTGCCAAGATAACGAGGTATGTGTTGAAGCTGACGGTTCCTGTCTTTGTGAGTTCCCCTCCACTCGATCAGCAGATGAAGTGTGTCAAGGTGAACTGGGTAGTTCCACTGGTTTTATTATGGAGGGAGCTATGAGTTATGGTCACATCGACACTGATAAGGCTGAGTAAGTGACGGGTGGTTTTTTGATGATTTATCTTGCTCTGCTGGAATCTTTGTCCGTATTTCGTCAATTTCTTTCGTCTTTTAAATATTTTCCCATTGTATAAAAAAAAAATCGTGTCTCGTGATGTAACACCGATTTTGTTCGATAAAATTGGTCACACAATGAAAATTAAGCAAATCGTTAAACACGTAAACCGTCAAAACATATTATCATTATATTTACCACAAACAAAATTCCAATGATAAACATAAAATGCCTCCTCACAAACTCGTTCTCACAGAGTCGCCAACAACTTTGACCTGGTGTTCCGGTTCTACCTATCAGACTCAGCAACAGTAAACGCCACCTACGACCTTGCTACTCTATTATACCCGGGCGAAGACGGAACTGAGTCGCAAATTGGTTTACATCTTGTTGTTGGGGAGGAAGAGTAAGAAACAATATTTTTACTTACCTCATTTGATGCGTTAGGTTTATTAATACTTCTTTGTTTTGATATTTTAAATTAGACTGCGACTAATCGTTTTGTTTCATCAGAGAAGTACGTAATTATTTAGATATTGCCGATATTAACCACACATTCTTTATAAAGGCAAGTAAATGAAGCCAATGAACCTATAACCGTGACGATCTATGTGTTGGTTATACCGTTCGACGAGAGTGTGTCCCTGTAAGTACATACCTTTCTAAAAGTATATTGTGCTATATATTTTAATTTGTGATCTTTCAGAGTTATTTTGCCAGTTGACGATGAGGATGCTGCTGAGGAAACAGATGGAGATGCTGAAGAGGAAACAGATGGGGATGCTGAAGAGGAAACAGATGGGGATGCCGAAGAGGTAACAGATGGTGATGCCGAAGAGGAAACAGATGGGGATGCCGAAGAGGAAACAGATGGGGATGCTGAAGAGGAAACAGATGGGGATGCTGAAGAGGAGAAAGATGAGGATGCTGAAGAGGAAACAGATGGGGATGCTGAAGAGGAAACAGATGGGGATGCTGAAGAGGAAACAGATGGTGATGCCGAAGATGAAACAGATGGTGATGCCGAAAAGGAAACAGATGATGATGCTGCAGAGAAAACAGATGTGGATGCTGAAGAGGATCCAGCTGTGGAGAATACAGATGGAGAAGACAACGGCATAACAAAAAGAGATGCCGAAGAGCCCGCTGGTCCGCCAGCTGGGAATGTCGAAGAGGAAACAAATGGCGATGCCGAATTGGAAACAGATGATAATGCCGAAGTGGAAACAAATGAAGATGCCGAAGAGGTAATAGATGGGGATGCCGAAGAGGAAACAGGCGGGAATACCGAAGAAGAAACAGATGAGGATGGCGAAGAGGAAACAAATGGAGATGCCGAAGAGGAAACAGATAGAGATGCCGAAGAGGAAACTGAGGGGGATGCCGAAGAGGAAACAGGCGGGGATACCGAAGAAGAAACAGATGAGGATGCTGAAGAGGAAACAGATGGAGATGCCGAAGAGGAAACAGATGGAGATTCCGAAGAGGAAACTGAGGGGGATACCGAAGAAGAAACAGATGAGGATGCCGAAGAGGAAACAGTCACCCGTAAAACATTCCAGATTTCTTCTCAATTTCTTGAAGAGGTGGTTTTACTGTAAGTTAGCACAATATCATCGAGCCATGAAGGTCGTTTCTTCAAACTTCAAACTTTAGCATCGGGATCATCTTGGTTTTGCTTCCATGTAAATTGTAACGAATGCATGATACTTGGAAACCTTTTTTGCATTATTTGTCATGAAAATTTCCTTTATTCGTATTTAATTTCTAAAGATTTTTAGCACTAGTTTTAGCATGTGATAGATACCTTCAGTATTAATTTCAATAGAAAGAACAAGCCCTGTTCTAGTTCCAAGAGGGCGAATAGTTTGCCTTTGAATGGTATTAGGGGTCGTTCACATATTACGTAATCAGCTGAGGGGGGGGGGGGGTTTCCGAATGATTACGCTAGTGTAATTTTGACACAATAGCTATGTGTAAAACTGATTACGGAGGGGGGGGGGGGTGGTAAAAATGTTCCAAAAAATGATTACGTAATATGTGAACGACCCCTTAACAGACGGAACATTGTTTTTGTGCGCCAAACACTGCACGTGACATATGAGAAATGGGGGAGTCGCATTGTGTAACCATTTGCGACAAGCTTTATCAGGGTGCCTGTTTCTTGTTCGAAAATTGAAGATTTTTTAATGACTGACGATCTTTCCTTCCTAGCATTTATTCATGCGTTATATTCTTCAGCAGCATTTACATAGGAAATCCGATAGCATATTTTAAAGTTTTTCCTCCTTTCAGCACATTTTAAGATTACATATCTCTCAAAATATTTACGTCTTTTGTCGAATTATCATTCCAGGAATGTTTTTCTTCATTTTAAAGCAAAGCACAGTTTACACTGCTAATTAGTGAAACTATTTGAGTATACTAGTTTTCCAGACTAACACTTTTGTCATTTGCAGGGAGCCCAATCAGTGGCACGTCATCAGAATTCAAACGTAGGTTCTTTTTGATAGAATTCCACACATATTTGTACTCAAATTCCCAAACTCAACAGTATGATTGCACTATTTCAACATTAAAACCGAGTAATTTCGTAAGAAAACACAGATCAGCTTCACATTCAATTGTAATAAGATAATAAAACCTCACAAGCCACCTGCTGGTCTGACGCTTCACAACTACCAGTAAATCACGAGTCATCACGTTTTTCACTCCCCAGCAATAGCGACACAAGCCACCCCACCAGCAGGGGATCATTGATCACTGTTCACTGTTTTAAATGTTGAATAACAAGGGAATAACGGGAGGTACGCCCAGGTCTGGATTGGGAACAACTCTTGAGGTTAACGATAAGGTTTACTCAACAACGGAGCTCGGTATCCCTCTTGTCAATGCTATTCATCTAGGTAACGTTCATTAGTTGCAGTTGAAATAGTTACAGAATTTTCGGGAATTCATACTAAAGATCATTCTTGTTCCTAAAGTTCTTGATCGTTCTTGTTCCTAAAATTGCAGCATTCCAAAAATTTGGTAAACCTTACAAGCATTCTTAAATCGATCGCATCTAGTATTCTCCTTCATAAAATAGAAAAATTATAATTTCAAATTTGGACACGAGTCTTGGAACACCCTGTACTTTAGGTGTGGCTGGTAACCAAGCTTACATGAGCTGTATCGGAGACATCACACTCAACGGACAACCAATCACGGAGTTAGACGACGGTCTAGGTTTGTTAGAATGACAGTTGATGTTTGGTGATTTTAGCTATAATATAAAACTAGCAGCACCTTGGTGTAACTCAAACTGATGACCGTAAAGACTACCGAAAATAAAATTTATGTTTTAAGGACTCTGAAAAATTTACAACTTCCCCATCTCAGGTGTCAAATCCTGTTCTGACGAAGTCAACACTGAGTACGAGAACAGGCTGGGAGTTGAGGTTTGGGCTAAGCTTGGCCTCTTGTAAGACGATCTACCTACTTGTTAAAACTGGGACTGCTCCAACTGTAAATTAGTCCCTCTTCAATTTATCTTGCATTGGGAACCACTAGCTTTACAATGCCTAAGGGAATTATTGTCCGTGTAACAGCGAAATGAGATAAATTTTATGACTGTTAAGGTGACCCTTTGTGCGGTTGTACGCATTTTTAGATTAATTGACTTTAATAATTCGCCAGAATGAGAAAGGGAATATTAATTCATTTTAAAAATACTTGACCTTTGATTCTCTTTTGCATGGATGATTAATTTATTAACTTGCAGGCACCACAATTGATTTTGACTATTATATATATATTTTTATTCTATGATTAATCCAATTAATTCTATTTCTAGCATACTTTTTCTACGCTTTTATTTTTAGTAACCGGTTTAGCTTAAATTTTTCTGACGAATATAATGTAAATATTTTAAATCTATTTTCAAGCTTTTTGATTAACTTACATTTTCTGGCTGTTCGACCTTCGGCTACTCTGCTGGAACTATTCACTATTACACATTGTCGTTCTGCCAATTAAAGATCGTTTCTGAACGTGTAAAGTGTTTGCGACATACTTAAATAGTAAATACATATTATTATTTTATGCTATTTGCTCTGAGAATTCAAGCCCTTTATGAACGAACTGTTTCAGTTTTTATGATTTTATGCTTTTTAGTTTTTGTACAATTTTTAAGTAAAACTTTAAAGTAGACTCTAAGATTAATTTTTTCAATATGCATATTTGTTGCTGTTACCATACCAGTGGTACCGGTAGTTTATTTACTACGGATATTCTGGCACTAGTTTTTAAACTCAGAACTGATTCGCCGTTTTATTGTTTATGAATATTATTTCAAAGCAATGTAACAAAAGTCAAAAGGTCAGCATGTTTGTATTACAGGGATGAATTTTAATGCAATATCGATTCAACGTATTGGAATTGAAAGATGACTGTTCTAGTTCATAGTTCTCATACAATTCAACAGTTCGATTATATCGTAAATCCATGTAACTGTAAGAAGTATTATCTTAAACAAATTATTTCGGGATCACCCGTGAGTACATCGCCGCATTAAAACGTGCCCTTTGACCTGGATTCTGAAATATATGTTATATAGTCAGTATAGTGATGTTAATGCTATTGTTTAACTTTTGTTTTGACACGGAAGAATACATGTTTCATGCTTGTGTATGTTTAATTAGTAATTGCAGCGAGCGACTGATCAATAATTAACGGATGATACTCGTAAAATATCTGTTCCATATATATATACAGGACCGTCGACGAGTCCAACTCGGCGCGCGTCCTGGTAGGTTGTAAACCTACAAATCAATAATTACATTTTGGTTGTAATATTGAATATGGTACATTTCTACAATCTGATACTGATAGGAGCATTTAAATTTTAAGTAAATTGACTGACTTAGGTCAGCTTCAAAGTCTGAACAGCTAGCTATGTACCCCTCCATGACACTTGTCGGTCAAGCATTACTGATTACTGTCTGGATCATATTTGACGAATGTTACTAGTCTAAATTTCTTCGAAGTAGCGCGCGCCGCTTTCTTCTCGAGATGGCGCGCCGGGCCAGACCATCAACAATGGTCAATCCACAATCTGGATCATCACTGTTGGTTTGGGGATGGTGCCAAACACTATTAGTACTGCATTGCTAACCTTGTCTCACGTCGTGATAGCATTTATTTTTGGAAACAAGGAAAGACTTTTTTATTTTTAAACGGCTGTCCGTAACACAATAACATACACAATTTTTTATAATTATATTATATTATACAATTTTTGAGGATATATCATATTATATGCGAAATAAAAATTATAGTTTGCGCCCGGTGCGTTAAACATTACTGAGCCGCGCTGAGCGATCAGCCTTTCATTCCGATGAATCTCTATGTTTATGAACATAATAGCCTGAGGTCCCCTTGTCATACGTTGTATGACCCGCCGCGCACGAGTGCGCGGCTCCCCCTGCATCGTCGAAACTCTACAGTTCACTATAGTGAAGCGACCGTGGGGGTCACCACGTGATACAAAGGTCCCCAGGTAAGTCGAACATCGAAACGGCAACGTTGAACGTGATCCTCCGATCGCGATCCAATATATATTTTAAAAATCGTGTATGATATTGTAGCTTTATAACCTACCTGGACGGGCGCCGTTATCACCCGTTAACGTGTATCAAAGACCGGCTCAGCGCGTGTTATTTGGTAAAACTTTGCCTTGGACATTGGAGTAGGGGGTGCACGATAAAAATAAACTTTCTCGGATTTAAAAAATTTTTGTATCACTGTTTTCTAGAGACTGTGAGAATTTTCACAATACCAAATTTGTTATACCTTTTTGGAAAGATCAGTGAGTTTCGCCTAGGTGCCATATTTGATGGTGCGCTGCTTTTGGAGCAAAAGTAGCTGTAAAAGTTGCGTATTAATTTGACCATTCACATAGCCATGTGCGCTACTGCAAGCGAGAGGGCTTTTATCTGGTTAGAGCAAATTTGACCAAATTCGTCCAAATTTGACCATTTTTGTCGTCAGTAGTATTATTCGGATTTATTTTCAGTATATTCCTTAAATGAGATCATTCTGGAAATTGGCGACGACCTTCCAATAGAGCTTTCACAACTGTCCGAAAAATATCGGAGTTGATATAGTGATCAAAATGGGGCAAAATACGCTGTTTTTAGCTGTAACATAATGTCTGATGGTTGGACATGCTTTAAATTTTTGTTGCAATTGGAGGTCGGGAAGGATACTCAATATCTATTTGTTTGAAGGAAATTGTGCTGGCCGAAATTAGCGCTTAAAAACCATCCTACAGTCGGCACGCGCGGCTCACTGTCGATGGCGCACTACATAATTGGAGGACTTCGATGCACCGCATAAACCATTATTTTTACTTCGCATCAAAGTAATTTATACGAGTAACATCCGTCAAATGCTAAAACCCCGACCCTAACGAGAAATTATACCAACTTCCTTATATGGCCAGTCATATCACGTGATCGCGAGACAGTTTTTCGCCAATATCTCGTCATGTTCACCTAACCATGTGCTTTCGCACCGCTAATTTGAAATTCGATAAAAGAAATATCAGAAAAATTAAATACATTCGTACGGAGCAGTTATGATTCAGTGATTAAGAAATAAGCCGGAATATTTTACAATGTACAATTTACACTGATTTGTAGTCACCTGTATTAAAGAAAATAGCTGATTCATGAGCAAAGTCCTTTAACAAATTCCGTATTTTGAATGGCAAATATTGAAATGTGGTCAATAAGTTTGAAGGTTTTTTTTTTTTTTTTTTTGGTGCAACACTCACTGACTTGACTCTTGCGAGCAAGCGACCTATAAGAACGATGGGTCCTACTGAAGCCCAGCTGGTTTGCATCGAGTCCACTATTCCAGGACGAACCTGCTGGTACCATTTCTGAGCAATGGCAGTTGGGTCGGGGGCGCCCCTCCTAAGAATGACTGCCGTAGATCCCGGGGATTGCATACTTATATTTGATATGCGTTTATACTCACTCCTTGCTAAGCCATTAATCTTACACACAACCACAAGTCGATGCCGAGGAGTTAATGTTTGGTGTAATTCTAGAAAAGTTAATATATAAGCGGCTCTATAGTTTCCTTACTTCCAAGGGTATAATACATGAAAACCAGTTCGGCTTTAGAAAAGGACACTCCACCAGCCATGCACTGAACTACTCTGTAGAACATATAGAATCGTTAATTAGTAAAAAGCAACATGTCCTAGGGGTCTTTATCGATATGATCTCTCAAAAGCCTTTGACACTCTAGACCACTGTAAACTAACTGACTGACTTAGGAAACAATTTGTGACAATTTGCTGCCGATTCGAGAAATAAAGCATATGAATTAGCTAATGAAGTACTACAGGCCGTAAACAAGTATATGGGAGTTAACCTACTGCACATTAATGTAAAGAAGTGTTGTTACATGTATTTTTCTCCCTCTAAACGTAATAATAACGAATTAGATGCCGATATAGATAGCCAAAACTTGTCCATTAATAACAAAATAATTAAACGTGTAAGTCAGACAAAATTTCTTGGAGTAATCATGGATGATAAACTGAGCTGGAAACCACATATATCATCCCTCAACAAGAAACTAAGAAGTGCTTGTGGACGTATCTACCGTATTAAGAAATGCTTACCAGAATCACTGTATAAGCAAATATATCATTCTCTCTTTGAATCACACCTAGGTTATGCTATTTCTGTCTGGGGAGGTATTCCCAATAATCAGTTAAAACCGCTATTTATTACTCAAAAGAAGTGTATCAGGATTCTATTTGGAGACTATGAAGCTTATGTAGACAAGTTCAAGACATGTGCTAGAGCAAGACCAATTAATTCTCAACGTCTAGGATCTGAATTCTATGTTAAAGAGTCCACTAAGCCTCTATTCACAAAACATGAATTACTTGTTACAGAGAACCTGTACAGATACCGTTGTTTAATGGAACTTTTTAAGATCATTAAGTCACGAGTACCAATTTCGTTATACTACTTATTCAACATATCAAATAGGAATGATAATCTGTTCATTACACCCTCTCCAACTAATCAATTTATTTATAAATCTGCATGGCTGTGGAATGAATTCCGTAAAGTTGGCCCGTTAAATTTCACCTCCACATGCAGATCTATCAAGAATTTACTTAAACAGTCACTTCTAAGAGCTCAAAACCGGTATGGAACTGAGTGGTGTGACAAAAATTTCATTGAATTCTGATTAAGAAGTGATATTTATTTGCCTGTTATTCCCACTGAAGCACTTACTGACTGACAAGCTTATCTATGATTACCATGCTTGAATTTAGGTAAACAACATACAACTCATTTCCAAGTTACGCTGAGCGCAACCGCCGAATGACACAGCAATATGGAAACGCGCGCGCATAGCATTGCGCGCCGATGCTGTGCGCGCGCGTTGTCGGCCGAAACTTGGGAAGTTCCCGCTCTAATATTGGGGGGGGGGGGGGGTGTCACGTCCGTCTATGTCCGCTTGTCTCATAGAATCCAAAAAGGACAGGACATAGGCGGACATAGGCGGACATAGGCGGACATAGACGGACATAGGCGGACATAGGCGGACATAGACGGACATAGGCGGACATAGGCGGACATTAATGGACACCTAAATTGCTAAATAAAATGTTCAATTTTTGCTGTTATAGGGGGATCATGTTTTTTGTCCGTTCGGTACCCTATATTTTCAAAACGGACAAAAAATAGAGCGGACAAAAACGGGAAAAATGGAAATAACATTTAGATGCTTCCTCCTCCTACTCTTCCTCCTCCTCCCTCTGGGTCTTCCTGATCTTCCTCAGTCCTCTTCCTCCTCCCCTCCTCAGTCCTCCTCCTACTCCTCCTCCTCGTCCTCAGTCCTCCTCATCAGTCCTCAACAGTCCTCCTCCTCCCCAGTCCTCCTCCTGGGTCCTCCTCCTCTTCATCCTCCTCCTCTTCCTCCTCAGTCTTCAGTCCTCCTCAGTCCTCCTCCTCATCCTCAGTCCTCCCCCAGTCCCCCTCCTCCTCCTCCTATTCAGTCCTCCTCCTCCTCCTTCTCAGTCCTCCTCAGTCCTCCTCCTCCTCCTCCTCCTCTTCCCTCTCAGTCATTCTCCTCAGCCATCCTCCTCAGTCCTCCTCAGTCCTCCTCAGTCCTCCTCCTCAGTCCTCCTCCTCCTGGGTCCTCCTCCTCCTCTTCATCCTCCTCCTCTTCCTCCTCGGTCCTCAGTCCTCCTCCTCCTGGGTCCTCCTCCTCATCCTTCTCATCAGTCCTCCTCCTCCCCAGTCCTCTCCCAGTCCCCCTCCTTCTCCTCCTCCTATTCAGTCCTCCTCTTCCTCCTCAGTTCTCCTCAGTCCTCCTTCTCATTTCTCCTAAGTCCTCCTCCTGAGTCCTCCTCCTGAGTCCTCCTCCTCTTCCTTCTGAGTCCGCCTCCTGAGTCCTCCTCCTCCTCCCTCTCAGTCATCCTCCTCAGTCATCCTCCTCAGTCATC